GCCCCCTCAGCTGTTGCTGCTGGATAGGATGAAGCGAAGGCCTCGTCTGGGTGGGGGCCCCCAAGAGGGGCCCCTGAGAGGGGAAAGGTAGAATCAAAAGGTAGTGCTAGCTGCTGCTGCTGCTGCTGTTGTTGCTGCTGCTGCTGCTGCTGCTGCTGCAGGTGAGAGAAGTCTACAGAGGTGGGGGCCCCCATACCCATGAGGGGGCCCCCACCTGCATTGTCTGGGGTTGAAGCAAAATGATAAGAAGGAGAGGGTTGCAGCTGCTGCTGGGGGTACTGCATTGTCTTGCTGCTGCTGCTGCTGCTGCTGCTGCTGTTGCTGTTGCTGCTGCTGCTGCTGCTGCAGCGTCTGCTGCGTCTTCTTCTGCTGTTGACCTAGCAGCAGCAGCAGCAGCAGCAGAAAGGGCAGCCACTGCTGTTAGTGCTGCTCCCCGAATGCTATGCTCTGTAGCAGCACCTGCTGCTGCTGCTGCTGCTGCTGTTGCTGCTGCTGCTGCTGCTGCTGCTGCTGCTGCACTGCTGCTGCTGAAGGTCCGTGTGGTTCTGGTGGCCACAGCGGAGAGCTCGGGGAGTTGCAGGCGCGGTGAGGTGTATAGACACCTCCCTGAGTGCTGCTGCTGCTGCTGCTGCTGCTGCTGTTGCTGCTGCTATGTGTAACAGTGGCAGCAGCAGCTCGAGGGAGACGCTGTTGCTGCTGCTGCTGCTGCTGCTGCTGCTGCTGCAGACACACACGCTGCTGCTGCAGTGCAGAGAAATTGATTTATGACGAAGAGAGCAAACGATCCCCCGATAGTGTCGGGGCTGCTGCTGCTGCTGCTGCCGCTGCTGCTGCTGCTGCTGCTGCTGCTGCTGCTGCTGCTGCACCGGCGTAGCAGCAACTCCATCGAGATGGTGGACCTTCTTCAACTAAAAATAAGGGTTTATTAAAATAAGGGTTTAGGGTTTTACCTTCAGAGCCATCAACTCCTCCGCAGCCCCTCATTGCTGCTGCTGCTGCTGCTGCTGCTGCTGCTGCTGCTCAGCCGGCGCAGCCGACAGCAGCAGCAGCGGCCGCAGCAGCAGCAGCAGCAGCAGCAGCAGCAGCAGCAGCAGCAGACGTGCAGTGATTAGTTCAAGTGTTTTTTTTGGATAGTTTATATAAACAATGCTGCTGCATATTTTGGTGGTTTTATGCTAACACACCAAAACCCTAAACCCTAAACCCTAAACCCTAAACCCTAAACCCTAAACCCTCAGGGGAAATCTGTCCCAGCAGCAACGCCACAGACTCCTTGCTCTCTAACCACCGCGTATAAACCCTAAACCCTAAACCCTAAACCCTAAACCCTCTATACTAAACCCTAAACCCTAAACCCTAGACCCTCTCACCCTCACTGTCGCCCCCAAACCCTAAACCCTAAACCCTAAACCCTAAACCCTAAACCCTATCTGAGGGTTTTGAATCCAGGGGTGTTGGGGGTATAAAGACAGCAGCAAAAAACACAAAGAGAGATAAAATGAAGACAAAGACAAACAGAAAAAGATATAAACAAAGACACACGCATCGTCTCCTTCTGTCTCTCTCTAGTTTTGCCATCACCGCATAGCTAGCTAGCTAGCTAGCTAGCTAGCTAGCTAGCTAGCTAGCTAGCTGATCGGCTGCCTAGCTAGCTAGCTAGCTAGCTACTCGGCATGCTGGATAGTTAGTTAGATAGATAGATAGATAGCTAGCTAGCTAGCTAGCTAGCTAGCTAGGTGCGGGTTGCTGGCACTGCTGCTGTTACTACTACTGCTACTTCTGCTGCTGCCGCTGCTGCTGCTGCTGCTGCTGCTGCTGCTGCTGCTGCTGCTGCTGCTGCTGCTGTGAGGGTTTTAATTGTTTTCGTTGATTTGTCTGTTCGGCATAGAACAACAAAAAAACAAAAGAGACAAATCTCTCTTTTTTCTGTCTTTGTTTTTTTTTTTTTTTATCTTTTTGTGTTTTTGTTTTGTCTTTGTCTTTATATATTCATCTGTCTTTGTCTTGTCTTTGTTTTTTTTTTTATATATTGCTCTGTCTTTGTCTTTGTTTTTTTTTTATATATTCATCTGTCTTTGTCTTTGTTTTGTCTGTATATATTCATCTGTCTTTGTTTTGTTTTTGTTTTTTCTTTATATATTTTTGTTTTTTTGTTTTGTCTTTATATAAAGAAGAGACAAAGACAGATGTAGATATATTCGTCTGTCTTTGTTTTGTTTATATATCTATCTCTCTGTCTTTGACTTTGTTTTATATTTATATATTTATCTGTCTTTGTCTTTGTCTTTGTCTTTTATATTTATATATTTATCTGTCTTTGTCTTTTCTTTATATCTATCTCTCTGTCTTTGTCTTTGTTTTATATTTATATATTTATCTGTCTTTGTCTTTGTCTTGTCTTTATATATAAAGATAAGGCGAAGACAAAGACAGATAAATATCTGTCTTTGTCTTTCTATTTATTTTTTCTTCTCCCTCTGTGTGTGTATCTCTGTGTGTGCGCTATATATATATATATATATATATATATATATATATATATATATATATATATATATATATATATA